TGACCAGCTTTTGCTATTAGTCACAGTTTATTATCAAAGACGTAACCATATGAGCTGCGTATCAGTTTGCCTGTGGCACCTTGGTCAAAATGGCCAAACAAAAGCACTGCTGAAGCTACACAGGATTTATAATAGATCTGGTCATTCCTAGAGTGATTTATCACATCCAGTTTCCGTACAGTTTTATAAGCTGGGTTTCCATTACAGTTTTTCACAAAATAAAAGTGATACTTGTACAATTTTGAGAAAATTACAATTGCTACGTGAAGGTATTTCCAATGAAGAGTAACATCACATCTCATGAGATCTTGTAATTCTTGTAAAATCTCATGAAATGTTTTCACGAGACTCATGACATGGTGTAAAACCGTCGAGTGATAAACGTGTGGGGCCTGTGCAATCTACACGGGAAATTTTATTAACTCAGTGGGTATGGGGACCCCCAGGGAGCACAGTGTCTCCTTCCACGGTGACCCCCACATCGGGGCATGGCTGGGCGCACTTCCCTCGCCGATGTGCGCCGCAACAGATACAGGCTGTCAAGGCTTGGGATGACTGTGGTGTGGGGAGGCAGCGCTCTCCTGCCCAGACCTTGCTGCTTCACCCGTGGCTTAGGGCAGCGCTCGCTGTGCCCTCCACTTGGACGGGGCGACCTGTTCCCAGCCCGGCTGCCTCAGCTCCACCTGGGTCCGGACCAGTCCACTAACGGGTGTCAGGAGTCCACGGGGATGTGCCGTTCGATCTGCCCTTGTTAAGATGATCTGGATTGATGGGGTCACCCGGGAAACCCCCATTCCCTTTGGCCCCAGCAGTCCTCCGTCAATCCAACACTCATTGCTGTGGCTGTTGGAGGTGTTTCTGAACTGCATGTTATTGCTGGAGGGGCTGGAGTACTCCGTCCCACCCTATGAACGTGACCAGGTCATATGACTGGCGAAAATGCAAAAAATTGTTCATTACACTTTCGAGGTATACTTTTACATCGACATGTCTCAAAAATCACCTCATGAGATCATAAAAAACATTTTTGCAACTTTTTGTGGGGAATTTTCTGTTTCCATTACCAGTATGCTATTGCACAATTTGCATTTTGCACATTTCTAAGGGCAATGGAAACCCAGCTATGGACAGATCAGCTTGTCTTAGTTTAACAGCATTCAGAATATGGAGCTAAAGCATTATAACTATTTACACTTTTATATACCTGTAGAGATTAACATTCATTCAAAATGACCTGTAAAAATCAACCTTTGACATTATAACAATTGAAAACTCAAGCTGAGTTGAAGAAATTATATATTTATTCACATGTTGAAAGATGTCAATCTCTTGGCTCAGTGTGCACGTGTTTCCTGTATTTGTGTGTCTACAGGTGGGAGCTGTAGAAGGCAGGTGCAGCATAGCTCTGTGTCCCCAACATGAATGGGGATAGAACATGGCTGGTAGTGAGGAAAGGAAGCTGGACCAGGCTGCCCGCCGAAGGGTGATGATGGCCTGATGCATAGCCTGTGTGCATGGCGAGATGTCCACTGATTGGAGGTGATGGGCTGAGTGGACTCAGGTTCCCCAGAGCACCTCCTATTCCTCCCCCAGTGCCAGCTGCACTAGTGGGAGCAGAAGTGTCAGCGCCAGGGTTCTGTTTCTTCCACTTTGTCCGGCGGTTCTGGAACCAGATCTTGACCTGTGTTTCAGTGAGGGAGAGCGAAAGTGCCAGGTTGAGCCGCTCACACACAGATAGGTACCTTGTAGACTTGAACTTGTTCTCCAGTGCAACCAACTGCTCATAGGTGAATGCAGTACGAGCTCTGCGAGGTTTCCCTGACTTGGAGTCTGAGCCTGAACGTTTTCTCTTAGGCTTTCCTTGTGGGCCCTGGTTCCCATTGGGCTGTACATTGGTGATTTGGCCTGTTGGGCCTCTTCTGGGGCTCTTGGTCGGTTTGATTGGATCCTGGAGGCTTTGCTGGTCGACATCTCTGTCCCCACTAAAGAGCAGTGCTGAACTGCTCTCCTCACTGCAAGAGGATCCGTCCGGTGCCTCTGAATCTGGGGTACAATTTCTGTTGAGGTCATCCTCATCTGGACTTCTATACCCAAAGTTTTCTGAAACATATGACAATGAAGATTAGATACAATAGTTTGTATTATGAGATAATACTGCTTAACACAAATGTAGTATGCAGTAGGCAGTAAATGCCTATCTGTTGGATGTCAAAGAACACGAGTGTCCAATGAGGAGATTGCGGTCAACTGGTCGACTGTTACCAAGTTGCGAGATGCCGGAGCAGGAAAAAAAAAATGTTGTGTGTGTGTGTGTGTGTGTGTGTGTGTGTTATTATTATTAGAATACATTTTTTTATTATATATTTTCCTCAGGCCGCCGACCCTGTCATGTTCCACTCTTTTGTTTTGTTCTTGTTGTGTTTCAGCACCAGCTGGAGTGTGGGGCGTTACCCTTCAGCGGTACACCTGTGCCTGATCAAGGCAATCTAGTGGTGGCCTACTTAAGGACAGTGACTTCTTGTCCCCCTTGTCGGACTAATGCTCTTGTTCACTGCTTTTTCCCAAGTGCTTTGTTCCTAGATCTCTCATTCATGTTCGTAGTCGCTCATCATTGTCAATTCGGGTTTGTGAGTATTTGTTTCAGCTTAGTATTTGTCCTTGGTTTCGTCAAACAAAATGAGCTAACCTCATTTTATTTTATGTTTTTCTCGGTGATCATTCTCTCCTTGTAATTAGCAAGCGCTTTCTGTTCTCGTTCGTTTTTTTTGGCTTTTGTTTCGTTAGCACCTTTTGTTGACTACTTTGTCGGTCCCTCAATTTTCTGTAAATAAACTGGTGATGGGTCCATGAGGCCTCATGAAGCGTGTTGACACAATGACACACTGTGTTGATACTGTGTCGATACTGTGTCACTGACCACTGACACCTGCTGGACTTTCAAAAATCCCTGCAGGCAACCCACTTGACAGACTGAACTGACTGATGTGATGATGAAGTGTATACAACAGGGGTCCCCAACCGCCGGTCCGCGGACCGGTACCGGTCCGCAGGGCATTTGGTACCGGGCCGCACAGAAAGATCTTGCCTTATTTCCGTTTTATTTATTTCGGAATACGAAATATGTTTTATTTTGAAAAATTACCGGATTCCCTGTTACATCCGTCTATGTCACGCTTGACTCACGTCAAGGCACACTTCTCGGTCACGTGACCGATGACGCTCATAAACAAAACACTGAAGCCCGCAAATTGAGTAAAAAAGCTGCTTGGAGATCGCAAATGACGGCGGCCTTAAAAGTACGTTCGAAACAACTGGATCAAAGTTATGGCTGAATACTCTGAGATCGCCACAATAGCACTGTTGCTATTTCCGACATCCTACCTGTGTGAACGCTCCTTGTGTTTATTATTATATTTCGAAAACACCACAGTTTTCATGCAGCTCATACCATATTATTTTGTTGTATTAATCCGCCACACCTTAAATGCGGGTCCCTGAAAATATTGTCTGACTTAAACCGGTCCGTGGGGCAAAAAAGGTTGGGGACCCCTGGTATACAATATCATTCAAATCTATGCATTCATATTTTATTATTCAATATGTTTGAATAATGTGAAAATTATGTAAATGAGGATGCTTGGGGGCTTTGTCTTCACAAATTATTATTCAGAAAAATAAGTTGCTCCAGTGTTTTGAATTTCAATCTGTTGCGTTTCTTGCATGCTATTTCCCCTGCTGTAGAGAACACACGCTCGAATGGCACTGGTGATGCCGGCGTACAGAGAAACTGCTTTGCGAGGTGGGAGAGGTTTGGAAAAGTAGTGTGTTGGTCCTTCGATTATAACGATGAGTAACATGCCAGATGTAGTTGCAGAGGAAGGTTTTGTTGGTATGATATTTCTGTATGGCAAATTCGACATTTCACCTGGAATAAAATATGTGAATAGTAAACTAGGAGTTACCATGAAATTAATTTGAATTAGAATGGAATAAGACATGTCAAAGATCCGAGAGGCACTTGGTGAGACAAGGAGATTTGAATAAATACCTTATTCTCCAAAAGGAGATGAAAATGGCTGGCTGTACATGGCGGACAATTTGCGTAATAGTCCGCTGGCCTCTGCTGTGCGCGCGTGAGCGCGAGCACGTACTAACGGTGCTGACGCAACCCACGTCACATATCAAAGATGCTTTGAACTACGACGACAGCTAAGCTAGTCTAGCCAACACGATGCTCGAAGTCAGACGGACACGTTTTTCTGATAATCTGTGTGTTTTCCTTTTTGCCCAAATATATATTTTTTTTCGAGCGAGGGTGAGGTCTGGCTTGTTTCGGTCGGCGCCATCGCATCGCTCGTCACAATTCCTTATAAACACAGTTTGGCGGGCTTTTGCGGCATCGACGCAGCCCTGCGTCGATGCAGTTCATGTATTGGTCACGTGATCGTCTTGAAGCAGTACACGCGCCGACGCAGGGATTGCTCTGTGAGCTCGACGCGTGCGTTGATGCATCAGTGTTGCTGGACCCATCACTAAAATAAACCTCTTTTGTTATCGTCATTTGTCTGCGTTTGTGGGATCCACAGTCCATACAGTCTGCGGTCAGACCACTGTGTCAGACCCTGAGCTGAGTCGGCGGCCTGGAAATTTAGCTCACTGGTCAATGCTCTCCGCTCATAAACTGGAGACATAGTGGTGGTGTAGTTTCAATTCCCAAGTTGGGTGGATGCCGCAGGAGAAAAATGTCATTGGTTACATGTATGAGGCAACTATTAATTTTCACTGTTGCAGAGTGAGAAGTTATTAGTTGCTCTGAAATAAGTATTTCTTCTTCAATTTAATGACATCCATGCTTCATCAATCTTGACATTTGTGGCTGTCTTGGTTAAAACTGTTTATTACACTTCAATCTACATGGTTGTAGAATATCATGTGACAGGTTCACTTTTAAGACAGAAAGGACAAAACACTAAGAAATTCACCTCAGCATCTATATCATACAAGTCGTTGAAATTGCGATTATTCATTTTTATTGCAAAATTGTTGAAACTACAAGTCCTTCATCTTACCTTTTGAACAAAATAACCTGCATATGGACCTCAATAACTGTGTTACTATTCAATATAATCCATATAATTGAGATACAAGTCTTTCAATCACAAGTCATTCACTTGCTATCTGAGCCCAAGCAGAGCGGGACCTGGGTGTCGGGTCTGGCAGGCACCATAGTCAGCGGAGGCAATGAAAAGAAAAGCGGGGCTACCGAGATGGCCTCTAGCTAGGCTACGGTAAATGCTTACCACTTAAACTCCACTGCCGAGCCTTTTTATCTCTGATGTCCGATTCATAACTGATGTGGACTGTTTTCAGCGTTTTTTTTTTGGCCATTCATCAAAGGAGAAGAATTTGTGCTTGGTGGTTGCGCCTTCTCGGCAGCACACGTGTACCAGCACTGATTTTGATTGGGAGGAATGTCGGTGCCATTTGACTGTTGGTGCTGGACAGCACCGGGGCGCTTGTGTTTTTTGCACTTGTGCTTTTTGCGCCTGTAATGGGCAGCATTTTTCACAGCTCCGTTTTGTTCAGCAGAAATGTTGGTGCTGTTGGACAGTCTGCGGCTGGACAGATAGATGGCTTGTGGAGCCGACGATGAGAAGAAAGGAGCATCAGCGCAGAGCGTAAATGCGTATGTGGAACTGGGAGTCGCCGCTTGGAATTGAAGCGCATTTACATGGGACAGGAGATGTGAGCCAATCTCTTTTTTCGTCAATGGACTCCAGCTTCCTGTTTGCTTTCAAACTTAGCTTGTAACAGACGCGTGCACATTTTCAGCATGACATCTTTGATCCACTGGTGAAAGGACACTTTGATTCCATCCTCTTTCATCTATAACTGCTTCAAACAACAGTGTGTGCAGGAAAAGTGGTTAAGTTTGCATGACTGTCTGTGTCTTATCAAGTCAAGTCAAGTCAGCTTTTATTGTCGAATATGCTCTATTTGTAACATACAGCAAAGATGAAATTACTTTTCTCTCAACCAAAGTGCAACCATGTAGTGCATTGAACACACACAGCTAAAATTTACATAAAATTACATAAGGCATAAATATATAAATATGTTAAATAAAAATAAAATAAACAAATAGCAACAACAGACAACCACGGGCACTTGTGATCATGTGTTGTGTTGTATTATTTTGTTATTTTATGTTAACTGCGCGCCACTATCAAATGTTGATGGTGGCGCGGGTACCCGCAGCAGCTCCTCTCTCTCCTGTGTTTACACTGTGGTTGAAAGGAAAGAAATTTGATCTGTGCTGTATGTTGGACAAAGAGCATATTTGACAATAAAGTTGACTTGACTTGATAACACACAAAACGGCATTGCATCTCTGCTTTTCGCAGATGATGTGGTACCGTTGGCTCCTTAAAATAGGGCCCTCCAACTCTCACTGGAGCGTTTCACAGCCAAGAGTGAAGCGATTAGGATGAAAGTCAGCACTGAAATATCTGAAACAATGGTCCTCAGTCGGAAAAGGGTGGAGTGCCCCCTCCGGGTCGGAGAGGAGATCTTGCCCCAAGGAAAGAAGTTTAAGTATCTTGGGGTCCTGTTCACGAGTGAGGGAAGGAGGGAATGAGAGATCGACAGGTGGATAGGTGCAGTGTCTGCTGTGATAAGGACCTTGTATCAGTCTGTCGTGGCGAAGAAGGAACAGAGCCAAAAGGCGAAGCTCTCAATTTACCGGTCGATCTAGGTTCCAACCCTCACCGATGGTCACGAGCTATGGTTCGTGACCGAAAGAACGAGATCCCGGATACAAGCGGCCGAAATGAGTTTTCTCCGCATGGTCTCTGGGCTCTCCCTTAGAGATATGGTGAGAAGCTCAGTCATCCTTGAGGGGCTCAGAGTCGAGCCGCTTCTCCTCCACGTCGAGAGGAGCCAGATAAGGTCGCGCGGGCATCTGATTAGGATGCCTCCTGGACACCTCCCTGGTGAGGTGTTCCAGGCATGTCCCACCGGTAGGAGCCCCCGGGGATGACCCAGGACACGCTGGAGAGACTATCTCTCCCAGCTGGCATGGGAACATCTCGGGATTCCCCGGGAAGAGCTGGAAGAAGTGGCTGGGGAGAGGGAAGTCTGGGCTTCCCTGCTAAAGCTGCTGCGTGTGTGGCATTGAGTCATAGGATTTCTTGGAGTCAATCCAGACAGTGCAGAGGTTGGTGCTTCTGGTTTGACAGTCTTGGCGGTTGCCCTGTCAACCAGTACAGTAGTTCGTGTTTTGCCCTGGGGTTATTACCAATGCCTTTCTGTGCTCTGCTCATGTACGGATTCATCTGTCCACTTATTTTGGCTGCTCTGATGCCTGATAGGAGCTTCCATGTGGTGCTGAGGCAGTTTATAGGTCAGCAGATTGAAAGGGTTGCTGCCTTCTGGGGGTTTTTCATAATGAAGACTGTCTGAGATGGGGGTTAGCCCAAACAATTGGGGTTGCTTGGATATCTTCCACTGTTATGATGACTGTAAAACTGCCAGTCTTGCTTTTGTGTGACACGTCTTTCCCACATATACCCTTTCAGTTTTACATTCTCACAGCTTTGGGTGGATCTGTTTTGGTCTTGATACCTTGCCACTGAGAGTACACGTTAGCTGGGTTGTTGGAGGACTTTCTGTTTATTTTCCTGACCTGTAGTTCTCCAATGTAGCTCTTCACCCAAGTAGCCAAGGCTGTGAGTCTTTGCTAGGCAGTATCACTTGCCTCATTTTTGGACATCCTGCTATATTTCTGGGGCAGTTCTTCCATAAGCTTCACACCTTGGCTTTGCTTTATTTGGAGGCTAAGTTCTCTCTAGCCTTCTTTTCCATGGAAGTATGGAACTATTTTGAGTGAAGCAACCCCACAAAATTTTTGTTTCATGAGCAAATGTTGCAATGGCAAAAAAGCCGGGGGAGTTCCTGCTATTTTTAAATTATTATTTCAGTGTAAAGAAATTGTATTGAGTGACTTTAATTCATTTGACTATCTCAGTCTTTTGATAAAAGGTGATCCAAAGACTATTGTTGTTATCATTCATACTTTGTAGACCTCCAAGACAAAAAGCCACATTTATGGAGGAATTTGAAGAAATGTTGTCAGTAGTCTGTACAGACTATGGCTAGCTGGTCATAACTGGAGACTTTGATGCACTATTTGCTGTTGTCAACAAACTCACAAATCCCCTAATAATACAGCGCTAGGACTCTACTAAACAGTGAAAAAGTACAATCCATCAGGTCAAACATCATCACAAACCAGGTAAAATGATGCAACACTTAAAATCAGGAACAATTCAACTATTGTGACAGTATCGGATGCAGTCGATCAACAAAAACTATAATCAATTTGGTTCAGCATTTGAAATGATCACCTAGCTGTCTCGACCCAATACCATCTGACTTTTTCAAAATTATTGTGAAATCTGTCAAACAGTTCCAGCAAATTATCAGTTCCTCAGTTCATTCAGGTGCGCTTCTGAAACCCTTGAGAGTAGCCACCGCCAAGCCCCTTCTAAAAAATAGAACATTAGATGTTTCCTTGTTAGCAAATTATAGACCCATACCAAACCTTGCATTTTTGACCAAGATTCTTCAGAAAGTGTTTATTAGTCATCCATTCATCCATTCATTTTCTAACCCGCTTATCCTCACTAGGGTCGTGCGGCATGCTGCAGCCTATCCAAGGGGTAAACCCTGAACTGGTTGCCATCCAATCACAGTGCACACATCGACGAACAACAACTCAGACTCACACTCACATCTCAGGACAATGTAATTCCATTAACCTGACATGCATGTTTTTTGGAATGTGGGAGGACACCGGAGTACCCGAAGAAAACCAAATTATAGACCCCTTTCAAACCTTCCATTTTTAACCAAGATTCTTGAGAAAGTGTTTTTTAATAATCCATCCATTTTCTAATCTGCATATCCTCACAAGGGTTGCAGGCGTGCTCAAGCCTATCCCAGTTGTCTTTGGGCAGTGGGAAGGGTACACCCTGAACCCGTTGCCAGCCAGTCACAGCGCAGACTGGTAGATGAACAACCATTCGCGCTCATTATCAAAACCGAGGGACAATTTAGAGCATTCACTCAACCTACCATGCATGTTTTTGTGGAGTGGACGTGCTCACCAGTCGGCAACCGTCCCACTACACAAATAAAATAACATCACTTAATTACTCTTAAATGTGGTGGAGGTTAACTCCTGTTTAGTTGTGGTTGGCAATGAACAGAAACCCATGGAAAATAAGATGTTATATCTATGGCTATGCATATGCATAAATTTCAGTGATGTGGGTGAGTCAGCCAAGTACTCACTGGCCACTTTATTAGGTATACCTGTCCAAATGCTCGTTAACACTTTTTCTAATCAGCCAATCACATGGCGGCAACTCAGTGCATTTAGGCATGTAGACATGGTCAAGACAATCTCCTGCAGTTAAAACCGAGCATCAGTATGGGGAAGAAAGGTGATTTGAGTGGCTTTGAACGTGTCATGGTTGTTGGTGCCAGAAGGGCTGGTCTGAGTATTTCAGAAACTGCTGATCTACTGGGATTTTCACGCACAACCATCTCTAGGGTTTACAGAGAATGGTCCGAAAAAGAAAAAAATATCCAGTGAGCGGCAGTTCTGTGGGCGGAAATGCCTTGTTGATGCCAGAGGTCAGAGGAGAATGGCCAGACTGGTTCGAGCTGATAGAAAGGCAACAGTGACTCAAATAAGCACCCGTTCCAACCAAGGTAGGCAGAAGAGCATCTCTGAATGCACAGTACATCGAACTTTGAGGCAGATGGGCTACAGCAGCAGAAGACCATGCCAGGTGCCACTCCTTTCAGCTAAGAACAGGAAAGTGAGGCTACAATTTGCACAAGCTCATCGAAATTGGACAATAGAAGATTGGAAAAACATTGCCTGGTCTGATGAGTCTCGATTTCTGCTGCGACATTCGGATGGTAGGGTCAGAATTTGGCGTCAACAACATGAAAGCATGGATCCATCCTGCCTTGTATCAACGGTTCAGGCTGGTGGTGGTGGTGTAATGGTGTGGGGAATATTTTCTTGGCACTCTTTGGGCCCCTTGGTACCAATTGAGCATCGTTGCAACGCCACAGCCTACCTGAGTATTGTTGCTGACCATGTCCATCCCTTTATGACCACAATGTACCCAACTTCTGATGGCTACTTTAAGCAGGACAATGCGCCATGTCATAAAGCTGGAATCATCTCAGACTGGTTTCTTGAACATGACAATGAGTTCACTGTACTCAAATGGCCTCCACAGTCACCAGATCTCAATCCAATAGAGCATCTTTGGGATGTGGTGGAATGGGAGATTCGCATCATGGATGTGCAGCCGACAAATCTGCGCCAACTGTGTGATGCCATCATGTCAATATGGACCAAACTCTCTGAGGAATGCTTCCAGCACCTTGTTGAATCTATGCCACGAAGAATTGAGGAAGTTCTGAAGGCAAAAGGGGGTCCAACCCGTGACAAGCATGGTGCACCTAATAAAGTGGTAAAGTGGCCGGTGAGGGTATATATGTTTGAAGAGTTGCTGTTAGATGCGGACTGGAGTGTAAATGCTGGCAGTTGGATGTGGCTTTCTTGCAGTTCCTTTTTCCAGCAATTTTTCCACTGTTACTGTCCTGTAGGATTTGGGCGACGTGCAGACCCCAACGGTGACTACATTAGGTGTGTTGAGATTCTCTGAATTTACGGTTGTAAGTGTGTCTTTTCCATCACATGCGGACACACACTAACACGCACAGACTCACTCACACAAGGATGAGCGGTGCTCTGTATTGTTAGCTCACAAAAGAAAGCCATTTTTTTTCAAGATGCTGTTAAAATGCAGACAGTGTTCATATAAGAAAGCCATTTTTCCCAAGATGCTATTACTGTATAGTGCATTCAAGGCCATCTTCTTGTTTATGATGATACTAGTGCAGCGTGTACTACCGTAGACAAATTCCTTGTGTGTTCTACATACTTGGTCATTAAAGATTATTCTGATTCTGATTCTCTTGACAACCTACACACTGCTACATTCTAAACTTACCGGTCGTACCAGTACAGTTTTGCTGTCAGTGCAATTCCAAAATGACCATTCTGTCAGCTTAACCACATTTTTAAAAAATCTCCTATTTTAGGCGTTATTTGCCCATCCTGAGAGGCTTTCCAGCCAAATATATCTACGATCCATGGAATGCCCCAGAGGAACTACAGAAGGCTGCCAAGTGTGTCATCGGAGTGCACTACCCAAAGCCCATGGTGAACCATGCTGAGGCCAGCCGCGTCAACATAGAGCGGATGAAGCAAATTTATCAGCAACTTTCCTGCTACAGAGGACTATGTAAGAGCAACAGTCACACTTGCATGTCATGTTTGTGAAGAGCAACTCCATTACACTCAGCCCTAGTCATAGTATTCTACAATTACAGCCATACAGTGTGGAATGCGCTGATATACAATTTGATTTGCGTATCTCAAATCTGCATATACAAGTTTAATTGTAGGAGTGATGTTAGACTTTAAACTCTGTTATACGCTCTAGCTCACAATGAGGACAAGCACTTTAGAAAACGGATGGATGGATGACTGACTGTGTTGCGTATTTTCCAAACAAGTAGATTACCTATTGATTTTAGATGCGAATGTCCAGTGAACCTTGTTAAAATGTGCTGCACTTTGTGGTTAAAGTTGTGCTGCATTGCTGATCATTCAGGTCTGCTGGCAACAGTCCCACATAATCACAACAGCGGGGCAAATGATAATGTGGGAGGAGTCAACCCAGGAACTAGTCAAGGGCCAGAAGGCTCCTCAGAAGACGCATCAATCCAGAAGGGAACATCTCAAGCAGGTAGAGTGGTTGCACCGTTGACCGTGTCCCCGCTACATAATTTATGTACTAGACTCAAAATTAGCACTTTGTGTGTCATTAAAACTGAGAATCACAGATTTTTACATTTTTTTTCCGCGGAGAGGATCCAAAGGAGCTTCACGAGGCTGTACGGCAGACAAAAGGCAGAGAAGTCATGCTAATCACTCAGCTAACCTGTAAAGAGTGATATGTATTTGTGAGACACTGGAATTAAGCCCCTGTTTTCCGAGTTTGGTCATGTGGCATTCGCAAGCTCAGCCATGATTGGTCATTAACTGAGCCCTGAGAAACTGGGGTGTCATTTTCAGTCGACATCAAAGAGCAAAATGTCCGCCCTGACGTGTGTGAAAATGGCTGAACTTTGATGCTTAATTCAAATTCCACAAACACAGTATTAATCAGAATTCCGTGTTTAGACTTGTGGGGCTGCATAGAAAATATTGCATCGAACATTTTTCTGTTGATGTTTCCTCAGGTGTGACGTAAACTTGGCAAACCATCTTCTGAGTAATACTTAGGGCTAAAACTATTTCAAGCATACTTTCATTAATTACTTCACTTGATATAAAAATATTTCATTTGGTATTTTCTAAAATGACTTCACAGTTGCCCTTTTTTAAGTCGAAAGCAAAACAGTAACAACAAAAGCTTGAGGCAGGAGGAGTTCCAGTAGCATATATTGATTTTATCCACAATCATGCATTTATTTCTCTAAAAGGGCTTCATATCCTCTTGTGCTTTTGTAGCACACACCAAAAAAAGAGATAATATCACACAGATGTTCTTTGTTGCTCATGTGTAATGTGCTTATTCCCATCAGGTGCTTTGAATGCAGAGAAAGGGCGGTCAAGGCAGAAGCGACGGAGTGAAGAAAGCCAAGCCAAGAGCAACTCCAAATCCCTAAGGCCAAGCAAATAGTGTTGCAAAAGACAAAATACAAAGAATCCCTCAGTCAGCCTGAATGGCATCCTCCTCCATTGGGCCTTCAGCTCTTTCTAATTTACTGGAACTGAAACTGCCCATGGCGGAGTTCCAGTGGGGAGTCATGGATTCAGATCCCTGCGTTACTGACAATTTGAAAGAATACCTTTCAGACACAAGTACTCCAGCACAGTCAGTTATTAGCACGAACCAATCTCCTAATAAGACATTCTGGGAATTTTGCCTTCCCACAGACAAAGGTTGGTACTCTAGGGGCTATCAAGCCAACCTTTTGCAAAGCCAAAAGACAATGAAGCAGTGTTCATTCGCCTTACAGGACTATTGGTTTGTAAATGGTCAGCTACACATCTAAGTGAAAAGTTCTTGTCATGCCTTTAGTGTTAAACCCCAACGACTGTCAACATACCATGAGATATATTCAAAAACCAACTTCCATGAGTGAGGTAAAATATCAAACCATTTATAACCGATTGGTTTCACACACATTAAGCTAATAAGAGTTTAGTATAATACAAACCCAATTCCCATGACATTGGGGCATTATGCTAAACATGAATAAAAACAGAATACAATGATTAGCAAATCATCTTCAACCTATATTTAATTGAACACCACAAAGACATTATATTTAATGTTCAAACTGATACACTTTATTTTTAGCAAACAATCATTAACTTGGATTCTTTTTGGCTGCAACACATTCTGCAAAAGCTGCGACAGGGTCATCTTTACCACTGTATTGCATCATCTTTTAACAACATTCAGTAAACATTTGGGAACTGAGGACACTCATCGTTGAAGCTTTCTAGGTGAATTTCTTTCCCATTCTTGCTTGATGTAATGATGAATAAGACATTGCTTGGATGGCAGACTATTAAGTTACTCCAAAACCTGTATGTACCTTTTATCATTACTGATGCCGTCACGGATGTAAGTTGCCTATGCATTGACACCTGTGTTTTGTCGTGTATTCACTCAACTACACGTTGAACATGTTTTGCAAATCATTGTATTGCGTTTTTATTTATGTTGAAAACAGCGTCCCAACTTAATTGAAATTGGGTTTGTGCAACAACCCTGAACAAGAGTAATTCAGACAGTGTCTTTTAGGAGATTTTTCTTTGTATTGCTGTTGAACTGTACGGAATTCCTTCATCTTATTTACACAAGCAAATTGAGTCTGTCCCAAGATATTTTTTTTCGATTCGGTATCTGATTGAAAATGACAGTATCAAATCTATATATATATATATATATATAAAGCATCACTACTATTGAAAATAGTAGTGATGCCATTTATTTGCTGTGTAAAATTTGGCGTTGTTTTTGACGAGTAATGTTAGGTCTTGTTTACAGGTCTCAGTTCAGCATGGGAAGCCGACCTGAACGTTTATTTCAATATTGCTGAGCATTCGCCTCAAATTAATATTATTCACCTCACAATGTACTGATCAGCTTCTGTCATGAAGAGCTAAGCCAAACACTCAATGTGTGCGCCTTAAACTGATGTTATCTGTTAGTTTATTTAGTATATTTTATTATTATTCATAATAATAATAATAATCATCATACATTTTATTTTTAAGCACCTTTCAAAACACTCAAGGACACTTTACAATCAAAAACAAGAACAATAAAACCACAGATTAAATTATGAATAATAAAAGAGGAGATTAATTTAAACTGAGTATGCGATTTTAAATAGGTGGGTTTTGAGATGGGATTTGAATGTGGGAAGAGAATCATTATTTCGGTTGTTGGGTGGTAGTGAGTTTCAGAGTTTGGGGGCAGAGCGGCTGAAAGCTATGCACTCCATCGTGCTGAGACGGGCAGAGGGGAGACAGAGGTGGAGGGAGGATGAGGACCTGAGGGAAGGAGAGGGAAAGGAAATTTGAAGATCAGACAGATGGGGGGTGGCAAGGTTATGGATGGCTTTCAATGTATAGAGATGTATTTTAAGTTGATTCTAAGTTTGACAGGGAGCCAGTGGAGCTGTCGGAGGATGGGGTTGATGTGATGAAAAGAGGGGGTTCCAGTGATGATCTGGGCTGACCAGTTGAAGTTTATGGAGGTATTTGTGATGGACACTGAAAAGAAGTGAATTGCAAAGATCAATACGGGAGGTGACGAGACTGTGGACAAAGATAGCAATGGTGTGAGGGGTGAGAGAGGGACGGAGATGATTGATATTTCGTAGGTGGAAATATGCGGACCAGGTTATGTTATTTATGTGGGAGTGGAAAGATAGTGAGCTATTGAGGATGACACCCAGGGTCTTGACCTGAAGGGAGGGGGACACAGTAGAGCTATCAATAGTAAGGGAGAAACAGTTGGCTTTGTGTAGGGTGGATTTGGTACCTACAAGGAGGAGTTCTGTTCTATCACTGTTAAGTTTGAGGAAGTTATGGGTAAACCAAGATTTAATTTCTGAGAGGCAGTGTGAGAGGGAGGAGGGTGGGAGGGAGGCATCGAGTTTGCTGGAGAGGTAGAGCTCGGTGTCATCTGCGAAGCAGTGAAAGTGTATACCAAATTTATGGAAAATATTGCTAAGGGGGAGAAGGTTGATAATGAATAGGAAGGGTCCCAGGACAGATCCCTGGGGCACACCAGAAGAGACGGGGGAGGACTGTGAAGTGAAGGAGTTGAGTTGGATGAACTGAGAGCGGCGAGTGAGATAGGAGAGAAACCAGTGTAAGGGGGTGTGAGTGATGCCTATGATAGAGAGTCTATTAAGGCGGATGGGGTGAGAAATGGTGTCAAAAGCTGCAGTCAGGTCGAGGACGATGAGGATGGACATTAAACCGGCGTCCGATGCCATGGGAAGGTCGTTTGTGATTTTTATGAGGGCTGTTTCTGTATTGTGGCGGGGACGAAAACCAGACTGGAATTGTTCGTAGAAATTGTTATGAGTGAGGTGGGAGTGAAGTTGAGAGGCAACAATTTTTTCAAGAAGTTTGGAGATGAAAAGAAGGTGAGAAATTGGGCATGGGTTAATGAAATCATTGGGATCTGAACCAGGTTTTTTTCAGGATTAGGGTGACAGCTGCAGTTTTGAAGGGGACAGGAACAATTCCAGTGGACAGTGAGGAATGACTAATGGCTGAAATTAAGGGAAGCAGAGAGGGTAAGCAGGATTTGACCAGGACTGTGGGGAGTGGATCTCACTGACAGGAAGAGGTCTTGGATTTGATAATGAAGTCTGAGATTATTGATGGATGGGGGAGTTCAAAAGAGGATAGCAGTTTACAAGGGGTGGGGAAGTCAGAGGAGGGGATGAGTACAAAGGAGCCCAGGAGCTGCTGGATTTTGTTGCCTTTTTCACTGAAAAATAGAAGCAGAGCGTTGCAGGTGTCAAAGGAATAAAAGTGTGTGTGTGTGTGTGTGGGGGGGGGGGGGGGAATGGTTTTTTAGAGAAAAGAGAGTCCTAGTATTTCCAGTATTGAAGCAGATGAGTCTAGAGTAGTATTGTGATTTAGCTTGAGAGATGGAGTCTTTGTAATGGGAAAGTTGAGCTGTGTAGATGTCCTTGTGAACAGTAAGACCAGTCTTTCAAGCTGCCGAGTTTTGGATTTAATGGAACGGAGATGAGGGGTGAACCAGGGGGCAGACCGAGTAAAAAAGACAGAGCGAGACTTGACAGGAGCGAGCATATTGAGAGTGTTGGTGAGATCCGCGCTGCATCGGGAAACCAAATCATCAGGAGAGGAGTCTGAGTCCGGAGTCAGGGTGGCAATCCTTGCAGTGAGAGAGATAATGTTGATGTCTTTAATATTACGGTAAGAGATGACACGGGGTGATTTTGAGAAAGAGAGCCTAACATTAACATTAAATGAGATGAGGAAGTGGTCCGTTATAGGAAGTTCATCAGCAGTACAGTTGGAGGGGTTGAGACCAGAGCAGCAAATCAGGTTACAGGGAGAAGAGATAAAGAAGGTGGAGGATTTTAAGTACTTGGAGTCAACTGTCCTGAGCAATGGAGAGTGTGGAAAAGAGGTGACGAAGTGTGTGCAGGCAGGCTGGAACAGCAGGAGAAAAGTGTCAGATGTGATGTGCGATCGAAGCGTTTCAGCTAAGATGAAAGGTGTATAAAACTGTGGTGAGACCAGCCATGCTGTTTGGACTGGAGACAGTGCCACTGAAGCAAAGACAGGAGGCAAAGCTGGAGGTAGCAGAGGTGAAGATGTTGAGGTTCTCTTTGGGAGTGACCAGGTTTGATAGGATCAGAAATGAGTACAACAGAGGGACAACTCATGTTAGAGGTTTTGGAGAGAAAGTCAGAGAGGCCAGACTGAGATGGTTTGGACATGTCCAGAGCAGAGATAGTGAATATATTGGGACAAGGATGCTGAGTCTTGAACTGCCAGGCTGGAGACTGAGAGGAAGACCAAAGAGGAGGTTTATGGATGTCGTGAAAGAGGACATGAAGGTAGTTTGTGTGAGAGAAGAGGATGCACAAAACAGGGTTAGATGGAGGCAACTGATTTGCTGTGGCGACCCCTGAAGGGAAAAGCCGAAAGGAAAAGAAGTATCATCCACAATCACAACTACGTCCCTTGGCAGTTTCTTGATACTTGAGACCACTTGAATCCTTGCTTAGTCTGTCCTTTTTAAACTTCCGTCCGCCACCCTCCATCCTCAAAATGGACCTGGATGGATGGACCATTCAGTCCCAGGAATGGAATACCCAACTCAGGGTGTGTCCCTCTGGTCACCATAGCAGTCGCATCAGGTCAGCGGCTTCTGATCATACTTTGATTTGGTGGAAAATGGTTTCCACATCTGCCACCATGGCCACGGGTTCCCGTTGATTTCTTACGCAGTTCTAACTGTCCGTTGCAGTCAGATTTTGTCCTTTTTTGCAGTCACATTTTGTCTTTCCGTGATGGAAGATCACAGTATTGATTCGATGACTGCTGTGTAGAACTGTCTGAGCACATCCTGTGGCAGGCCATGCTTCCTCAGCAGCCTCAGGATGTACATCAGGATGGAGTTGGTGTTGACCTCCCACTTAATGTCCTGGGAGACTGTGATTCCCAGGAACTTGATGGTCTCGACGGTTGACACAGGGCAGTTGGACAGTGTGAGGGGCAGCTGTGGTGAAGGATGTTTCCTGAAGTCCACGATCATCTGTACTGTTTTGAGCGTGTTCAGCTCCAGGTTGTGTTGGCTGCACCAGAGCGCCAGCTGTTCCACTTCTTGTCGGTAGGCAGACTCGTCGTCGTCTATGATGAGACCAATGACTGTGGTATCATCTGCGAACTTTATGAGTTTGACAGCTGGGTGTGTTGAGGTGCAATCGTCCGTGTAGAGGGACAAGAGCAGTGGAGCAGTGATGTTGTCCTTCCCAGCCTCACCTGTTGTGTCCGTCCCATCAGGAAGCTGAGGATCCACTGGCAGATCGTAGATGACACACCAAGCTGGAGAAGTTTGGAGGTGAGGAGTTCCGGGATGATGGTGTCAGAATGGGAGTGTCATCCAGCACATGTAGTATTTGACATCAGATGATTATGTCAGCAGCAACACACAAAATACGTTCATAAATGGACTTGTTTCAATATATGCCAACTCATTCATTCATCTTCCGAACCGTTTGATCCTCACTAAGGTCGCGGGGGGTGCTGCAGTACATGCCAACTGTCACAGTAATTTCTTATTGCTGATGTTTGAACATTGAGCCCATAGTGTTTCTTGCTGAGTATGGATGTGAAGTTCCAACGAATCCATGTGTCCCACATTATGTGCATGTGTCCCCTCTCACTGGGGTTACTACCATAGTAGCACTGCAACAGTACCTTGTTTTTCACTCTGCTCCATGAATGCCTTGCTCCTGAATATCACCATTCAAAAGTTTGCATTCCCTTAGGTCTTATAACCGTGGATTGATTTGTTTAGCATCAAAGAGAGCTTGCAGTCGATGAGGCTCTCTATTTTCTCAGGTGGTAAATCTGGCCATTCCTCATGGTAAAATGCCTTCAGGTCCTGTTAATTACTCAGTTGTCTTACAAGAACAGCACATTTGAGATCTCCCCCGAGTGTGTCAAGGAAACTGAGGCCACAAAACTGTGGCCACTCCAGAATGCTAACGTTGTTCTGGTTTTGCCACACAAAGAACAGACTTTGCTTGTGTTTTGGATCACTGTCATGTTGTAAAGTCCAAGTAGAGCTTCTGGGCTGATGAATGCTAATTGGCCTCCAGTATTTTCTGATAACATGCTGCAGTCATAAATTTTGATTGTCA